GGATAAGGGTTGGGGCAGTCAGGGGACAGGTAGGGGGTAGGGTCCTATGGGGCCAGTTAGGATGTGGGGAAGGTCTCAGGAGGGGGCAGTTAGGGGACAAGGAGCAGGGAGGCTTACGTAGGGGGTGGAGTCCTGGGGGGCAGTTAGGGGCAGGGGTCCCAGGAGGGGGCAATCACGGGGACAAGGAGTGGGGGGGGAGGGTTGGGGGTTCTGAGGGGGCAGGAAGTGGGAGGGGCAGGGGCGGGGCTAGGACAGGACCGGGGCGGGGCTACTCCCGTCCTCTTTTTTGATTGTTGAAATATGGTAACCCTAACAAAATTCTCCTCTGCAGTGTTTTAGCAGTGGGGCTGACTGGGTTCAGTACAGCCCAAAGGACTCACAAGTGGGAGGAGGTGGTAAATCCCTCCACAGGTGTAATATGCAGCAGGTTATAAAATCCTCAAACCCTGACTCCCTGGCTTGAGGACACAGTTCAGGGAGTAGGGGGTCCCCAAAACAAATTCCCTAACTAACTAAAAGATGGTGCACTCACAAACTCCATGAATGATCCTCAAGTTCGAAGATAACGCTGGACTCCTCAGTCACTGCAGAGGGGCTGCTGTCCGCTGGCAGGGATCCTCCTCAGTCAGGAATCAGGCGGCATCGATCCCAGGATTTCCCCTCACCACAAAGGGATGCAGGGCTCAAGATGTAGGTTATACAACTACACTAACATCCAAACTGTAGCCTCCTAGCCCAGCCTCAAGTCACACACTCCACAGGCAGCTTCCCTGGACTAGCAGACAGAGCAGAGCTGACTGATCTCACCTAGGGAGCTGGAGTGCAAACTCAGTCTGGCTGGGGAAATTTCCCAGCAAACGCTACAAATTGGGAATCAGAGGGGCAGGAAAAACCCAGCTGAGGAATCTGCTGTTGGGTCCCTAGAGGCCTGTTCTCAGGGGGAACTCTGCATGCAGGCCTGGGACTCACCAGCTCCCCACACAGCCAGTCTTGCCCTTTTCCTGGCTGGCTCCAGACTGACTACAAAATGGCTTCTCCCTGGGAGGGCCTGTCCTATTGGTTGCTGGGCGGACTCTGAGTCTGCCTTGACTCCCACTCCCTACCAGGGACAGTGTGCCTCTCCCTGAGCTACCAGCAGACAGAGTCCCAGGAATCTATGTCATCTCCTTGGGGGTTACACAAATAAATAAGAACAATGGGAACAGAGATAGGCCAGTGCTGAGCACTTCAGAAAATCTCACCCTCTAAATGGAAAGTGTAATGTTATTTTACATAAGTGACATGATAATAAATTGTATAAACTGATTTACATTTGATTATAAAATTTTACTACTTTTGAGATATTATGAACAATATCTTTTTTCATATTGTAAGTGAAACCTTTGTAAGTTTTGAATAAGTGGAAAAATAACGGAACAACTTCTATAAAAAGAACAAAAACAGGTGTAACAAAAAGCATTTTATACCACTGCAAAATTGTTCTCTGATCACTCAAAATATAACTATAAATTCCTTGTCCTCCTTCAGATGCTGAATTTTCCTTTCCATGCACTTCCTGTAAGCAAAGTAGTTTAACAGAGTAGTAAACAAAGATAGTCAAATGATTGCAGATACATCCTTAATTAAAACTTAATTTAATGCTTCTGAAAGGCACTGGATTAACAACACTGGAAATTTAATTATTTTTCCACAGAATAAGGATACTGTGGGTAGTATAATGAATGCTTTACTACCAGCTTACTGCAGCCATGAACAATGAGCAATATAGTTCTTTGCTTCTTCTCTGAAAGTGTCAAAAATTATGTCAATCTGTGCTAACATTAAAGTATTTTTTGTGGTGTAAATCAAGCAACTGAACCAAGACAACAACTCATTTCATATTGGGTAGTGAGGTCAGTGATTGTAGACTTAGGATGGATTTGAATCAGTAACTCAGAAGTTAAAAAGGACCTAACACTCATTATCAATACCTTGAGCTATCTAGAGATAAAACTATTTTGCCAAACTAATCTGTGTAGTGGATACATAAAACTATGGGTAACTAAGATGGTTCTGTATTTTCAAAAGACGTTATCAGTTACTTGCCCACACAAATATGCATGATCAGAGAATCTACATGGTTGACATTGCTTGCATGCCTAGTTTTTAAAGAAGTCTTCTGACACTGTGTGGAGTATTAGTCATTTTTCCCTCAAGTCTTAGCTGCATACTTTATATATGGAGATGTTAGACAATAGGTGTGGGAAGCCACTAGGTGTGGCCTCTGTAAATTGAGATCAGCATCTGGGTATAAGTGAACTGATCGGGCCACAACCCATATAAAATGGAAGGGAAGCTTAAAAGTTGGGGAAAGCTATGCTCACATCTTGTCAAGATGACTTGCATACTCAAGATCTTTATTTGATTTGTTGCGGCTGCTAGTTTTTCAGGTAGAAGCAATGCTTTGTAGTGCTTCTCATCAGCTCTGGTTGGCCATTCCTGTCTAATTGGGGTCCTTGTAAATGTCATCTACACCTTTGTCGATTCCAAGCAAAATTATTTCACTTCACTGTAGTGACTACCCAGAAACTCCAGCTAGTGCTCACTTTGAGCTGCGGGGGGAGAGAAAGAGAGACAGAAAAGGCATATACATTAACATCTGTGCTCAGATCTCCGCACTGGGTTCCTGTTCATGTCAAGGTGCAATTCAGGTCATTTGTGATACTGTTAAAGGCCTTAAATGGCCTACAGCCCAATTAGCTGAGACACCAGCTCTTGTTCAATTCCCCATTGTGACCATTATATTTATCTCAGATGATCTTGTTAGCAGTTCCTAGGAGAGAACATGCTAGAACCAGCAGCAGCAGGGCTCCCACAATTAAAGGCCCTGCCTTTGGGAATTGCCCCTTTTGTGGTTTTAGGGAAATATAAAAGGTATTTAGGGACAGACACTGAGTTTACTGTGAAAAATGCTTTATTTCCCAATTTATGGGGCAGTAGAAGGTAATTTGTACATAATTTATAAACAAAGAAATATAAAGTTATGTGTAGTGAAGTACATTATTGAAGCAAGGCAGGGAGGCGAAGGTACGGTCTCTGAATGAGAACTGTATCTCAAGTGAAGCACATTAGCAATTTAGATAGGTAATTAAATTGTTTCCCTTAATCAGGGAAAGGTTGGTGGAGATAGGAGTGTCTCCTCCTATTCTGTAGTCAATGTATAACATGCTCTCTAATGGGAGTGAAGTTTATGAGGGGAAAAATACTTCCTCTGTGTGGTATATTTGTGACAGGAATTTCAAGTGATGGGAATTCATTAGCAATTGCATATCTAGAAAATCAGTTTCTTTTGTGGTTTACTATGGATGGAGGAACTTTAAAGAAAATAACTCCAAATGTGGGGGGGGAAAAGTATGTATGATCAATTGACTGAAATATGTAAGAGAAACCTCAGACATGTTTTATATACATGCTTCCAGCTTGTCTGCCTTCAAATGTTACATAAAACCGAAGTCATTACTGTGGTGTGCTCTGGATGGCTGGTAGCAGGAATATTTCTAAGTACATCCAAAGTATGACATTTTAAATAATTTAATTCATAAGGATAGAAATGGTTGTCATAGCCTGATATGTTTAGCATTGGGAAATTGATATAGGTTCACTCTACAGCTCCTGGAAATAATAGAATGTTATTGAATCATGTGAAATTCATGCCGGTTTGCAGCAGTAAATTAAGATTACAACTCATACAGTGACAGGTTATCTTTGGACTAGTATTTCTAATCTCATGATGTCTTTACTAAATTGCCTGCCTGGAAAGGCATGGATGATAAGACTTTTTTTGGTACATTAGAATTAAATCATGGCTTCAGCGTGTTTGATCTCCCTATGCTTCTTTGAGATCTGTAACAGTCTATGGCGGACTGTACTTTTGTTAGAGCTGGTCAAAATGGTTTGATTTTGGAGAGGGGTCAAAAATGGCCATTTTTCACAATTGGAAATGTTAGTGCAAAAACTGGTTTCAGGTTTTTCTTTTTTTGTTTCTTCTTCAAAAAAATTGGAAAATGAAAAATTTAGGGTTTTTTGGTTCATAAGTTTTCCTTCCATTTTTCCCCCACACTTTTTAAAAGGCAAAGTGATAAAAGGGGTGACACGGGGAAAAAAATTGCAGCAGGGGAAGAGGAGAATAAGAGGGGAAAGGAAAACTAAGTAAATAAAAATTGTTCCTTTTGAAAATCTGTGGAATGAAAATCACTTTAAACATCCAAATTTTTTCATGAAATGTTTATTTTTCTACCAGCGCAATATTTATTTACCCCTGTAGCTTTATAAGGTTTGAAAGGGACTAGCAACCATATAGACCACTCGTGGGACCTTGCCTTGTGAGTGTAAGACTCCTCCAGCTGAGAACAGGGATGTCCAGTCTTGCAATACCGTGGCTATTGCTACACTGCAAGCGAAGGCATGACTGTAGCAGCGGTAGGCATATCCATGCTCACTTTAGTTTACTAGCCTGTTTAACAATAGTAGTGTAAATGTGTTGGCTATGCCATGCTGAAGCCTATTCTACTGCATTTACACTATTGTTACCTGTGCAAGCTAGACCAAAGCTAGCACGTGTGCCCACCTGTGCTACCTTCACATGCAGCATGGACATATTCTAACGGGCAGATGCTCAAATAACACTTTTTGCAAATAAACATTCGTGACTTTTTTAAACTGACATCCACAATGTTTGCTTGAATGTCCCTATAGATAAATAGAAATAGCTTGTTTTTTCAGTTTGTTAGCAGTAAAAACCTACAACTACTTAGCTTTTTCTTCACTCTGTAATTGTAGACTATAGTGAGAAGGCAGTAACAGGCTACAATTAGCTCTTGGCCACAGAAACCAACCTGCCAGATATGCAAAAGGAGTTAAGAGCAATGTAGGGATGTAAGCATGTGGGACTCACCCTGCGGCACCTCCTGCTGGTCATCTCCAGGAATTAGTTTTTCCAGCCTTGGAGCACCCTCTGCAGGCCAGTGTCCCACTTGGCTCCCATGTCCCTCCCAGGACTCTGGTGCCCCATTATCTGGGGTGCTGCCCCCTGGCAGTACACCCCTCAGTCTCAGGATCTCCCCTCCCAGGGAACCCTCACACCCTATCCCCTCCTCGCCTCAGTCATAAGCTACTGCCAGTCACCAACTAGCTCCCACTCCCTGGGGCAGACTGCAGTATAAGCCACTCATCACAGGCAAGGGGTTTTTTGGACCTGCTGCCTTTCTCTGCAACCCAATACCTCTATGGGACCTTGGACAAGGCCCTGAAGCCTGGGGAGTTGCCAGCCTGGAGCTCCCCAGCCCCTCTGGCCTTTCCCCAGCCCTGCCTTACTCTAGGTACCTTGAGCTTCCCAGCAGCCAGGCCCCAGGGCGTGGGGCTAGACGATGACTGGCAGTAGCCTTATACTGAGGTGAGGTGGGAATAGTGGGTGAGAGTTCCCCACGGAGGAGGGACCCGAAGACTAAGGGGTTACTGCCAGGGGACAGCACCCCAGGTACAAGGGCACCAGGGTCCTGGGAGGGACACGGGGCCACAGGTAAGGCGGATCACCAGCCTGCAGGGGGTGCTCCGGATGCTGGAAGAGCTAATTCTCGGAAGTAAGCAGCAGGAGACACCGCAAGGGTGAGTCCACTCCTCTACAGGATAATAATCCCTACCTTACAGCATGTTATAAAGAAAAATACACAAAAGACTGTGAGGTGCTCAAATACTATGATAACGGGGAGCATATAAGTACCTAAGATAGACGCTATTGCAGTGTTGCCAAAGCATGCGACACAGAACACTCAGGTCTATGTCAGCAGTAGGTATACAATCATCTCAGAATGAGGCAGCATCACTAGGGGACAGATTGCTTTTGCAGTCCTTCACATTTCCCATGAGTGTGTATATTCTCATTAACAAGATTCAATTAACATTGCATTTAATTTACAGCTTCATTTCTAAAGCATTGTCCAACTTATGTATGGTGGAATCTAT